CGCACAATTTTTTCTCTCTCCTTCTCCTCCTCCCTTTTATTTGTTCATCGGATGCCTTTTATGGCACTTTGTTTTTGAATATGTTATTGTGCTTTAAGCGGGAGTTGACACAGCAAATCAGTTTTCCACAAACTGTTCCCGGACATTGGCTGCAGCCCCTACAATGAATGAGCCTTCTGGTTACTTCCCTTCATTCGGCTCTCCTGCCTGTCCCTACCTCTGTCTGTGCTCTCAGGCAGTGCTGCCCTTTTGGTCTCTTACTTCCTGGTGCATTTTCCACAAATTGAGAATACATGCTAGTAAGCTCAGTTCTGGGCTTCATGCATTTTACTTAGACTGGAAGAGATGGAAGGAAAAAAGAACCCCACCAATCAGATTATGTCGACATCTGTCAAGAAAATGTGTGGGATTTGATGTGAAGTCTGTGACGTCTTTGGCTAGTCGAGGCACAGAACGGGCAGGAACCAGATGAATCAAGCTGAGGAAGTCATTGGTGGTTCAGCACCAGAGGTGCTGAGAAATAATATATTTATTTTTCAAATGCAGGGTTTATAGAATTTGTAGACAGTTTGGTTATAGATTGTAAAAAAGAATGGGGTCAAGAACAACGCCTAAGTTTTTTGGTTTGAGTAAGACAGCCAATATTGCCACTGACGGAGGTGGGACAGCTCGGAGGAAAGCCACCTGGAGTGTAAAGCTGGAGAACTGGCGCGATGTGCAGTGTTTAGAGATGTTGCGCATGCAGTTAGAGGCTGAACTCGGGGTAGGCACAGCTACATGTGGACTCTGAGATAAAGGTGTAATTTTAGGAACACAAAGTATTCCTACAGCTGTTCTGCTCAAAGGAACAGTTCAGTCTGAAAAACGTGTAGGTCAGCCAGGGGGCCTCAGAGACTGGATAGCAGTTGTTTGATGAGTTTTGAGCCTTTGAATAGCTGTTCCATAGACCTGGTTCACAGAGCAAAAGCGATGACAAGCTTGTCCTCGGCTTCCTCTGGGCAGTTCCTGCCTGTGTCTCCTTCCAGAGACACTTCACTGATCTCTTTTTCAGAAACCAAAAATATATATGTATGTTCGGTTTTTCCAACAATCCTTACTCCAACTAATCATTTTTAAAAGTTCCCAATATTCCTTTATTCTCTTTAACTTACACAAAAATAATTTCTAAAAAAGCAAGAAAGAGTGTCTGTGTTAATACTAACTTTAGAATGTCCCCAGCCATCTGTCATGTGTTGTATCTGTTCGTCTTTTCTTAAGAAATGTTAGATTTAACAAGATTTTTTTCTCTTCCTTGTCTTCACAGCTGACCTAGCATCTTTAATGGATAAAACCTATGAGAGAAAGATCCCTGTTAGTTCTTTGACAATATCACGGGTAAGATATTTGAATATGCATATATATTTGTTTTGTTTTGTTTGTTTATTTAATAGAAGAAGAAAGAACAGAAGGAAGGCTCTTTATAAGAAAGGACTTCCAAAAACTTGTGGAAATACTCTGTTCTTTAATCCTGTTTCTCCAAGAACTTTCTGAAGGCCCCTTCTTTAAATGAGGCTGAATGAATAACGAATGCCCGTCAGAGGGGCGTATGTTTCTAGTGTTACTAGTAGAGCCCTTATGGTGAGGAGGTTCTTTGTGGAGCCCCGGTGGGGGCATGGTTACGCGTTCCGCTGTGATCCTCAGCGTTCCATACCACCAGCCTCTCCACAGGAGCCAGACGGGGCTTCTCCCGTAAGGAGTCACGGTCTTGGAAACTCACATGGCGCTCTCCCCTGTCCTATAGCATCGCCATGAGTTGGCATCCACCCAGTGACAGTGAGTTTGGTGTTGAGTTT